GATTAGAAGGATTGGTATAGTAGATGACGTGTGGAAATAATTTTGAAAAAATTGCAATTTGTGGAAATCGCGAGGAAAATTTTTTATCTGAGCACGTAATGCAAAATTTAAAAAATACGTTTTGTAGATTTATGTCTGTTATACATGTGTTGGAAATTTGATCGAAATCAGTGGATGGAGAAACAAGCGACAGGCATCGAAAGATGTAGGAATTTTCAGTTATATTACAGTTTATAGGCCGAAAGTCGTGAAAAAACAGTGACTTTTCACAATCTTCGGCAATTTTTATATTCGATGCAATTTTCAGCATGTGTATAATTGACATAAATCTACAAAACGTATTTTTGAAATTTTCATTACAAGAATATTAGCGGGAGTCACTGTATTCGTGGAGGAATGATAATGATAGAGTTAAAAAATATGGAAAGTTTGCAGATCTCCGAGGGATTTTCCGAGTTTCAATGGTTTCGCGGGAATCTCGGGGAATTCCAAGGGTTTCACGGGATTACGATAACTGTGAGGATATCAGCAAGATGATCCTGAAGATTTCAGTGGCTATTATGGTGAATTCGAGAATATTCGAGGAGTTTAGAAAGGTTGGAGGATGTTCAACAATTCGGAACATTCTACAAATTTTCCAAGATTCGAGGATTTCGTCAAGTGCGAACGTTTTCGGGAGGCGTTAAGGAGAGTCTGAGGATTGTAGGAATTCGAGGATTGAAAATGTTCTAAGTACCCGGTGCGTCACCTGAACACCCTATGTTTCTGCAATCTTTCGAAACTTCTTCAACCCTTGGAACTTCCTGCATCCCCGCAAACCGCAAGTATAATTGAAATACCCCGAAATTCCCTAAACTGTCAAAAGCATTGGAACTTGCTTGATACCTTTAGTAACGTCGGGAACCTCCCTATGTCCCTTAGAGACACCCAAGATCCCTGAAACACCCCTAATGCCTCGTGAAACTTCCGGAATCGCCAGCACTCTCGAAACTTCCAAAATTCCTCGAACCTTCGAATCAATCAGAGTCCTTCAACTCTCCCTCATTCTCTACCGCTCCTTTAAATTTCCTGGACTTAGGGTCCAGAGTAGTGTCGATATTTGCTCTCTCGAATATCATCGATATCGAGGTCCAGACGCAGGATATTTCTCGAGTGCACCTTTAAATTAACCTCTAATGTGAAATATCACGCTGTTCTAAAATATCGTAATTATAAGATCGACGCAACAATTGATATATTTCAAATTTTATATTAATTAACACGTTGACTGCCAGGCTACGAGATAACTCGTAGTTGGCAATTTGCTGGTAGAAGTTACACCCTATTCGGAGACGCCCGACCACGAGATAATTCGAAAGCATTTTTTTACAAAAAAACAATTAAAATTAGTCATAATATAAAAATTAATATGTGTTTGTTTAATTCTATACAATAAATTGAAAAAAAAAGTGTTGGCGTCTAGAACAGATTTCCTCAAAATAGGCTTGGCAGTCAACGTGTTAAAAGAAAATTTTCTTTGAGAAATTATTCTGGTGAAAATTGAGTTAAAATGTGAGAATCTCTCCTGGGATTCCCATCTCTCACACTGTCGCCCTGGTCGAAACCGAAAGGCGTCAGTTTGGGTAGAGGAGACACGGTTTTCGAGGGTCGCAACCCACCTTTGTAGTTTGCCGAACGAAGATAAGGACAACGAATAAAAGATAAGGATGAAACGAGGGTCGAGGCAACCGAGCGATTTAAACAGCAAATTTTTTCTGTATGAAATAGTTATGAACATATTGATGTTGATATTGACGTTCTGAAAAAACCGTATACATATAAAATTATAAATACAATTGTTTTTTTTTTTTTCGTTGGCGGTCACCCATCCTAACATTAGTCGCGAGGAATGGCAGCTTTACCTGTAAAAGCTACCGAAGAGTCACCCAACCCCGTCCCCATTTCTCCCAGGATAAAAAAGAACTGCATTCTTATATTATTTAAAGTTAGAATAATTATAGAAAATTTACTACACTCATTTGACATAAACAAGTTGCTTCTGAGTGACACGGCGTTATAAAGGGTTAAATTAAAATCTACAATTGAATCGAAATGTTACAGGATCGAATAAAACGCCAGAATAAATTCAATTATTTCGACGAACCACTTTTGCATGTTGTTCAATGAGGAACAGTATCGTACACAGTACAACCGACAATTTAAAATTTACGAGGACGTGAACAACTCTTCAGCCTCTTCACTTCCCTTGCTTTCCTCGCACGATCCTTCGTCTTTCCGGTATCAACGCCAGGACAATACTGCGAGTGGACACAAATGCACCGAATTGAAATAGAAAGGGATTGCACATAAGGTCGCCAGTGATAGAATGTTGAATCCTAGAAGCATTTTGTGTACAACTACGGTAACTACGCGAACCGCAATCGGGAGCAAGGCATCGATTAACAGTGAAAGGAAGGTCGCTCGAATTTCAACGGTACCACCGAACTGATCCGCGATAATTGAGGCCCGTGCAAAGCCTCAGCGCCGCCCACTATTGTCGCATCGGTAAGTTAACTTTATCACGCGTACGGTCGTTTATTTCACCCCGTATCTTGATCAAGCCACCTTTCACCCGACAAAGATCACGGCTATATTGCCATGGTCAGTGTTCAACGTCGCCGCTATAAATTGAGAAGGAAATTTTCCGATCGAATTTCAGCCTAGAGATTACGATCTACGCATCTGAAAATCCGAAAAAGAAGATACAAATTTTGCAGTTTGTTGTAAAACAACGTTGAAATGAAATTTTCATTGTGACGTTATTTTTTGCAAAATGTTAATTGAAATTTTTAAAAATTGCAGTCAAGAATTGTGCAACGCCTAAAGTTCAAATAAATCAGTCGATCAAATTTTAAAGTATAATAAACATTTCCTCAGTTGCAAATTATTCTCTATTTAAAAATGTAATCATTTTTCTTTAAAAAATGATGCCTTCTTTAAATAAGCATATTTTAAAAATTTGATAATTTCTCTTAGAAAAAATGATGCTTTTTTAAATAACAGTTACAGAATATACGTTAAATCCTGGTTAAATGAAAAGCTGCGAATAAACGGGGTGAACGAGGCATTCGGTATTAAAATGGTGCATTTTCGAAGATTCCGCTAATGGCGCAGATTTTTCGTATCGCAGGAATTGGATCATTCGAAGTCGGTTGATTGGCTAACCGAGCCCATATCTGCTGACCCGTTAAGTCAAACCCAGACATTCTGCATTTTACGCGTGTAACCTTGCATACAAGCCCCTTCGTGGTTGGCTACGTTACACAAACCGTTACAATGTCTCTCTGGTTCGAGCAAATCTCTGGGAAACGCAAGATAAGAGGGGGAACGGATAAATTATCCGCTATTGGAGAAGCCTCGGATATTAAAAAGCTATTAAGCTTGGATATTAAAGAGACCTGTTTTCTCCTCTTTCTCTCGCAAGCTTTTAAAAATAATTATTGGAAGAAATTGACGACGTCGTAAAGCTAAAAGCATAATCGACGAAACGAAATTAGAATTTAATTTTTCTTTCCTCTCTTTCGTCGATTAGATTAGTCGCTGGTGATAATACCGGGACAATTTATCATCGTTCTCCTAACGATTATGGAAAAATACGAGGAAGAAACATGTACAGAGAGATCCTTTAATACGATTCTCTTCCGTAAAATCCGAGGAAAGAAAGACAACGATAACGTTGGAAAATTTCACGGAAATGCTCTGTTCCGCGTACGGATCACGTATGGTCGAATAAAATACGGTCGACGGATAATATATCAATGACAAACTCCGTGTGCACATCGGCTTTGAAATATAATTATCTCTTGCCTTTTCACGTCATTGACCATTTAAACGCGTTAGCCGCTTGTACGCGTCAAAAGCATATTTTTCGTTCACCCCGGGGAAAACGCGGTTGAGCCGCGCGCGAATCAGGTTCACACACTCGTTTGCCCCGCACACAATCCCGCCGTTTTAAACGTTATATGCATAAAAAGATGCACAGACTAAAAACAGTTCCTCGTTGATGCACAAAAATTCGAGCGTCTATGAAAATAAAAAGGACGACAAATGAAACAAAAAAAAAAGAAGAAGCAAGGAAGGAAGGAGGGAGAATACAAAATAACACAACACAACTCGAGCTACTATGAATGCTCGTTGCAGCGTGTATATACTAGGTGAACGAAGAGAGAGAGAGAGAAAGAACTTGCTGTCCTAAATTTATAGTCGCATCGCTCTTTCATAATTAAAACGCAGTACACGCGGAAAGTGCGCGCACAGAGGGCTCTAAAATTCTTTTCTAAACTTCGCCGTACCGGATGAAACTTTAATATCCTCAGCTTGGGTTAAACATCGGACTTTGTACTCTTTCAACCACCTTCCCAAACCCAACCCTAACCGCGCTCGGTATCGTAACTCGCGGCACGTCACTCATATTAAAAGTATTTCACGTGTCTATGTGTATATTATAGCGTGTGTATGTATATATATATATATGTATATGTTCATCCTGTGCCACCGAGTTTCATACCGAACTTTTTTACCGTTTCCGACGCAAGTTTCGCTGAAAATCGTTATCCTTTTTATATTACAGAGCCGGCGGAGGCAGTATGCCGGAGGAGATCGTCAACATCTCCGCGATATTGGACTCGTTCTCCGTCAGTTACGATAAAAGAGTAAGGCCGAACTACGGAGGTGAGTAGGGGATACGACGTTCTCTCTTATCTTCCGTACGAAAAAAAATGTATTTTTTTCTTCTTTTTTTTTCAATTTTTTTTTTTTTTTTTTTTTCTTTTTTTTTGTAGCGTCGACATATCGTCTGCAAAACCACGATCGAACCCTTAAATAATACGTGACTAACGCTTAATTTGTTTCCATTGGTCCTGGCTCTAACGAAACGACACACCATAGTGAATCAGGTTTTGCCTACGATGTTCGATATGCTCTTCGCATATATACCTTGCTTACTCGTCGCATTTCTGATAGTCGTTGCACGGACTGGCCGTATTCTCGAAAGAATCTCTCGCAGCGAACGAAGAATTGCGTAAATTAAGGGAAAATTCACGACAGCCTGTGACTAGAGAAAGAAAGAAAAAAAAAACGGAAATATTCCACGGAACGATTTTCACTTCGTTCGCTGCGAACATCGAAAAGAAGATTGCAAAACGTGTGCTTGGGTTCCGAAGTGGAATGAAATTTGCCATTAAAAGTGGCCTGTGAGTGGTAGAAACGGTGCTGAAACGTGTCTCCTTTCGATCACGAGCGAAACGAACGAAGGAATCCCGTTAAGCGAAGAGGAGAAAACGAGCCTTAGAAACGAAGTCGAGATCGATGATCCGAAAAATCGTGACGTTGAACGCAAATACAGACTTTTACCTTTTTCCTTTCTTTTTTCTAAATGGTGAAACGATAGCGATAGACTGTACAGTGAAAAAAGAGGAGGGGGGGGGGGAACGGCGGTATAATGAACGAACACGGAAACGTTGATCGGAACACGACAAAGGGGTAAAAGCGCGACGACAACGTGGCAAGAGGCGGAGAGGAACGCTCCGGGAAATATTTTTGACGCCGTTTACTCTTTCGTCGCGGACGATACAGAGAAGAATATTCGGGACAATGGGGAGCAAACTCGTGGGCGTGTACTTTGCAAGCCGTGCGACGAAAAAGCTCAGCCGGTGAACGAATGGACAGGTATGAAAAAAATCTCGTCTCCGACGTCTTTCGTTTCTCGATCATCGTACTCGAACGATGGGTAATTCGTTGTTTTCATCCAGTCATACACTGCTCGACCGTTGAAACAATACGGTATATAGCCTTTGACGAGCATGGTGTTTTCGCGGAGAAATCGAGAAAATACGGAATCCTAAACGCCTCCACATTTTATCTCTTTAATTGTAAATCTTAAAAGTTTGAACCGAACCCAAAAAAGGATGTTCTATATTCCATCGAATGTCTGTGGTTTCTTAATTTTTAGACGATTTTCAATTTTCGCGGGGGAATCGAGAAAATTCGTCTGATTTTATTGTAAATCCTAAAATCCTAAAAGTTCGAACCGAAATGGTTATGCTCCATCGAATATCTCTAGTTTCTTTGTAATTTTTAGGCGATTGTTAGGTTAAAAAATTATTAGATAATTATAAACCAAGGGACTCGAAGTTTTTCATACACGTTTGGTCGTATGTCAAGAAAACACGGTACAATTTTCACGCAATTATCTCAATCATTCTGAAACCATTCTGAAGTCACTCGGAACGAAATTTTCTTCAATTTGAATTTTCACAATGACCCTTTTTTTGCAGAATAAAAAATAATATCGAACACAGTAACCGGTTCTAATTTACATATTCCCTGAGAAAATCATAAGTCAAAGGGTTGAAGGATAGTTGCCCCATCGAGTGAGATATGTATGAGCCAGGGGACGCCAGCTGACGTCGAAGGAGTCAATAAGTAAAATTTGTTTACGCCTAGGATCAAGGGAGGAGGAGAGCCGATGTTCGAATTTCATAAAGGCGAATCGGACGTATTCAATTCCCGCGATAAAGTCAAATTTTCGAACGGCCCCGTGGAGGCAGGGCGGGGCTGGAACGCTTCGATAAAACTTGGATCGATGCTGGGACGCAGCACGGGTTGCCACGGGTTACCGTTAACGGCATCTCTGCTCCGGCCACGCTCCGCCACACAGTTCTTCACCTTCGATTACAATTTCAACATTGATTCCCTCGACCGCACGTCTTCTCTCTGTCACCGTGCACACCGCAACCTGTCTCCAGAGTTCCCGCTTCCGCCATGCGATCCGCCGCGCGTGTCATCCCTTGGGGAACGCGAAAGAATTTCTAGATCGACGCGATCTATCTCTCAGATTTGAAGTTTGAATTTTGAAATTCCATTCGAGGAAATACGAAGTTCTACTCGATACTCTTATTAGGGTAATTTATTCGTCCAAGTTTTTGGATTTACGGAGTGTTCAATTGGTTCTTGTGTTTCAGTGTCTTGACAGTATTGCAGGTAGCTAGATTTGATTAATAATTTCGAGAATTAGCGAGAGTCTCCGAACTTTCTATATTAATCAGTCAGCGAATTGTTAACTAGGTGAAGGTAGTAGAGGAATTTTTGACGAATACGGGATTCTGAATCTCTGCTGAGTGTAGATCTTGAGATGAACGAATAATGAAGACAGTTAAATTGCAGTTGAACAGATATCTAAGATTGCTGAGAAGATTTTTTTTAAATTTGACAAAGAACCCTGTATTGGAAAAAATTAGTAATATAAAATTGAACGATGGTTCTTTTCGAAAATTTCTTAAAATAGTGTCTAAAAATGAAATATCATTCGACGTAAATAACTGTTGACGAATTCGGTGAAACGAAGGAGATCTAGATCTCCCGGGCGTCGATCTCGAGTCAGACTGAGAAAAATCGATTAAAACAGGACGAAATAAACAGTCAGTCGATATTCTGATTAGTCAGACGACGAATAGTTAACTACCCTCGTGTAGTTAAGTAATTTCTGTCCAATTAAATTAGTCGAAGGGAGAAGTAATTAGGCTTCTTGTTAGAAATCGATATTTAAGCAAGTCAGAATTCAATCAGCATTCAGATCAGCCAATCAACCGGTACTAAAGTTAGTCAGCCAATCGCTGGTCAACCAAGATCAGTTCAACTAGGAAGCAATTAGCCTCCACTTAAATTAAGGCTTCGAACCGTTTAATCACAGCTACGTAGGCTGTTTTAACCCTTTAGTTGCGAAAGTTTTCGGTCAAATGTTACGGAACGTGGGAGATCAATCGAACAGGGAATGAAGAGAGCAGATTTTTGTTTTTTTTTTTTACGTTACAAACGTGATATCCTCTCTTGGTTTATTTTTTTCTCTTTTTTTCGTAACAAAACTTCAAATGGGTATGCAGATTACATACGCCTGCTATCGAGTAACCGGTCATACACTGGCCATTTCTGTACGGTTTCGGTATAAATCGGGTAAACACGAAATTCTGTACGATTTGACGAAGTGAGTTGCGACACGTTCGTGATGAAAATTTTAACGTTGATCAATAACGCTAGCTGCAACATTCTCGCAAACATAATATTAATAAATTGCATGTTATTTTTGATAATTTCACCGGGTATCGTAAAATACGAAATAAAATTGCGATAGAGTACACAAATTGATATTAATTCACGGCGAAATGAAAATTCTTAATTATCGCGGATAGGAATAATTTCCTGTCATATTTACAAGAACGTTATACCTGATTAAATATACTGCAAAATTTCCAAGCTTCAATCTCTCGTTCGCTAAAATTCTAAGCAAGCAACAGCATCGAGGTAGATCGACGCGCTTTAAAAATAAAGGGCTAGCCTGCTAAATCGATACACACGCATACGCGACAATTTTCCAAAAATAAAGCAAAATCGAGCGCCCTCGGGCGGGCAAAAGTAAATTCTCCCGGAGAAACATTCGGATAAAATAAGTTACGACATTCGAGGTCTGTCATCGAACTTCGAGGCGAATAGAGGAAGCAGAAAAAGTAAGGCAAGATAAAAGGAAACGTGCCGGCTTGGTGGTGGTCTCGGCTAACGAGGATCGTTCGAGGGAATTCTGTCGGAAAATTTCCTCGACGAACGTGGTCCGAGATAGTAGGTATACGAGGGGGGTGGTTTTCTTCGGGAAAGGGTAAACAGCAACACGATTTATTTATTCGCCGCCGGTTTCGAACGTGGGCATTCATTTTCATTCCGCGGCTGATCCTGTTCTGGGACAGTTCCAACCAGCGACTCCTGACTCTGGCCCCGAGCCACGGTGACCCACGGAGGCACGCCACAACTGCGGTTTCTTGCTCTTTTCCCGCGGGAGACAATGGGCGTGTATGGGTGGAGGAGAGAGAGAAAGAGAGACAGAGAGAGAGAGAATTCGAGACTCTGAAAAGTGTGCCGCTGGCCGCGCGAATTACTCCGTGAAACGGCTCCCCTATCAGTTCTCTTGTTTCGCCCTACCCCCGAGACGATCGATTTTCTTCGTATTCTGAGCTACTTTTAGAATCCCACGGACCTCTTCGAGATCTCTCCATTCTCCCCCACGTTACTGTGTGTATGTATATATACAGTGTGTACTTATACGTTCGACAAACAGTTTGGCTTAACGTTCAGGGGTAGAAGGAGAAGGTAAGGAGGAAAGAAAAGTAGATAGGTGAAATTACCCGAGTCCAGTTTCACGGATTATTAATCCTGTGTTCGTACACGGTGGCGAAACGGGGCGTCGTAAATAAAACAACGCGGTCGATCGTGGGAGAATTTCATTCGGGACACCATCGTACCCGCCCTCCGATATTTCCCGTCCGATAGAATGCATTATACTCCGCGTCTCGAATTTATCGTCGACCTGGCAAAAATGCCTATAAATCCTGCTCCGGGAAATTTCCAATGGCCCCTCTCTCCCTCTTTCGCTCTTATTTTTAGAGTCGGTATCACGAGGCAAAGCCACCTCGAAAATCGTATCGCGTTCCGCGGTCAAAAGCGGGAATCGTCGATCTTTATTCCGGGTAGAGGCAAAGAGGGAGAGAGTAGGCAGGAAAACGCGCGAGGATCCTGAGACAGGCTGGATTTACCGGTTTCCCCCCCGGAATACGAACGGTTTTAACATTTAAAATTTAGATAGATCTCGCTCTTTCTCGGACATTACGGGATATCCCCTTGCATCCAGCACAGGATAAACACACACACAGCTTCCCCAACCGCGCGGCTTCTTTCCAGAGATATTCTACGGAGCACGAGAAAGGATTTCCAACGATTTTCCACTCCTCTCTCTCTCTCTCTCTCTCTCTCTCTCTCTCTCTCTCTCTAATACCACGTTTTCCGGTCAGAGTTTAGGGTAAAAATGACGGAATACGTGAGTGGGAAGGTTGATGAGGGGGCGGTCGTTGGTTTCCTTAAACGACGCCACGAGGCTCGTGTATATTAGCGAGCAAACAATTCCGATCGATGGACGGCTACGTAATTCAATATAGTTCAAGGACTCCGGTGCAACGATGCGCCCTCGAGTGTTCGTTAAACTGCTGCTGATCGATGAGGAGGGCGTAAAGATTCGTTGTTGGCTGCAACAATGTTGCGACGCGGCTGTCTTCGATGAAAAGGGTGTATCGGTTCCGGGAAATAGCCGTTCCGTGGCGCTTTTAATAAGGCGGAATATCGAGGAGTATCGATGTTCGGGAGGAGGGGGGAAGGGCTGTTTTTGAATACCCCGGGTGGTCGGCAAGTGATGAATGTAAGAGCAAAGAAAACGATGAAATAAAGTTTCAAGTAGAGCGGTAATTTGTAAAATACCAAATTAGGAGGTGCACTTCCGCCTCTCTGAAAGGAGGATCGCGGGGGGGAAAGAAAGAAGGAAACAAAAGCAAACGAATCTTAATATTTCAATGTACCGAATAAAAGGAAACGAGTAGGTACATATTCCTCTACAAATTTCCAAATATTTCACGTCGAAGTTACAATTCTCGTGAATTTGCGATTATGTGCAATATTGAAACGAAAAATTCTTCGTGAATGAAAAAACAAAAGCAAACAGTCTTTGCACCCAGTTTCATTTGACGAATTCATTTTTTGAAAAACGAAACTCTCGTAAACCAAGATACTTATGTGCAGATACGGCCGACGTGACAGTCGAAACGTGGAAACCGGATGAAAAAACTATTCGAACCGATGGAAAAATTGCAACGTTCCCTCGGAAAAAAAAAGAGAAAAAACGTCGTTTCCCTAATTCCTTAGATTTATTTCATTTTTTTTTTTTTCCCAACTCGGACCGGTGTTGCTCCAATGTCGTCGAGATCAATATTTTTCGTCGCAGATTCGCTTCAACCGTTGCCTGTCGTTTTTCCATTTTTTTTTTCGGTTTTTTTTTTTCGAAACACGCTCTCATGGGCGATTGGCTCACGGAGGCAAGCCATACCGACGCATTTCAATTAACTCGATACCACGTTCGTTCGTTGCGTTTTGCAACGTGTACGCCGTCCCGTCATTGTGAAATATGTGTCCCATATGGGACGTTCGCCGGCTATAGGGTTTTAAAAACATCCCAGAAATGGAAATGAAGATATATCGCGTGTAGCAGCGCGCGATGCCGCTGGCAGAGCCGTTGTTTACGAGTCAACTTTATCGCAGAAATGCCCGGGCCCTCGTTCTCTACGTTGGCCAACCCTCTCTCACTCTCCGCCCTCTTATTTTTCACTTCGTTCCTTTCCAACTTCTCCAACAACCAACCTTCCTTCCTCTCTCTCTCTCTCACTTTTCTATCCGAGTGAAACTCTCGCGTTCGAATACACTCTCGAGGTTTATAAGATATCTATAAACTGCTCGCGTATAATTTCACTCGTTTCCTTCGATTCGATAACATTTTCAACGTTGACCGATAACTTTCCTGTAAATGACTATTTTCATTCACAAGTGTAATCAGAGTTCGGTGAGAAGTCCCCGCGAGAAGTTCCCGCGAGAAAGAGTTCATTTCCCGGAGTTTAACCACCGCGTGAAAATATTTCACAGACACCCCCTTTCGAGAGACATTTAAGCATGAAGGAAGAAAGAATCAGCCGGTTAGCTAAACTAAAAAGAGGGAAGATCTTATGTTTGTCAGAGTATACCGGAGCTCCGACAATCGTGTGCCCCCCATTCAATCGACAGATTCTTTCTCTCCGGGAGAGAGGAGAGCCTGCCCTATTCCGCCTCACAAAAGACATCGAAATTCGATCAACGTTTCAGCACCGCAACCGTCGTTCCGAGGTATCAATGAAGCTCAAAGAGATAACCAAGCACACGTATCGAGAAACGATGATCCTGGTGGTCCTCTAATCGAGAGTAATTACCACTTTCAGCGATCCATCCGACGTAGCGATACCACTCTCAATACCCATGAAAACATTCCACACTCACAATAATAATAGAAAAAAAAAAAAAAAAAGAAACATATATATGTATTCACGAAACGAAACGAAAAAAAAAAGTAACGCAAAAAATAAGCAAAAAAAAAAAGCAGTAAAGTATACCATATATACATATACGTATTTAGAGACTGTAACATGAGAATGATAAGATAATAAATCTAACTTAACGATCTCAGTGAACAGAAAAAAAAAAAAAAGAAAAAATAAGTATACGTATAAATAAGATAAAAGCCATAGTCACCCCATCGTGTAACTTGTCCGCGGCCGGAAACGGCCGACTCAGTCTGACTAACCTTCGATTTCAGGTCCTCCTGTCGAGGTGGGCGTCACCATGTACGTCTTGAGTATCAGCTCGCTATCCGAAGTGAAAATGGTACTATACCTCTAGGTCTTACTCAGTCATTAACGCTGAAATATCGATTACTAATCATTCCGATCGTTCGACTTAAAACATTCCCCTGACCCCTTTGCCCGAGCAACCACTTCTCTTTTTAGTGCCCGTGTATTTGGAAAAAAAAAAACGAAAAAAAAAAAAAAAAAAAAAAGAAACGATTGCCGTCAATCGTTATACTACCACGATCTCTCATGTACATACCACGACACATATATATGCACATTACACCAAAAGACACATACGGAACGTAAACATCCACAAACACACAGTATCTATCTATCTATCTATATATATATATATTTATTCGAACTCACACACACACACACAAACACGACAGAAAAATGATTTCGGTACTATATATATATATATATACACCACCACAAACAATGGATACACGAATGCACACCGGCGAAATACTTACACTGGATGCATGCACGCGCACAGGAATGCATAGATTCCCCCTGAAATTCCGTCTTTCATTCCTTTCTCGCTGGTATAACATTCGCCAAAGATTCAACCACACACTCTCTCTCTATCGATATTTTCCTTTCGCGTGCGTGGAAACAACCTGGGGAACGTTTATTACAGAATTCGAAATGGAACTGAATATTCCGGAATACGTAATACACAGGGTGCACGGTGTAACGCAACCACCCTTACACAGCTCGAGTTTCTTCCATCGAACGAAATATTTTTCATCCCGGATGATATCGCGATTCGGGAGAATTTTTCAAGTTCTGGTTCTTATAAGTCGTCGAGCACAGCTTCGACATTTTTCCCGCACCCTCTACAGTTACTTGCCACTTTTCCTCTGAACTATTTATCGTGAACTTCGCAGAATTTCAATGTTTCACGTGAAAAAATGTTCCACCTTATCAGTATGCTTACGAAACGTCGGAATACTTTTTCCACAAGAATACGGCTCGCACCCGAGAGCCTGAATAACAGATAAACAAAATCGAAGTCGATTTCAAAAACTCGATAAGAAAAGTTGGACTCGACCTCAGAAACCTAGAAAAAAGAAGTTGAAGTCGATCTCAAAAACTTATAAAAAAAAAGGAAACACGAGAAATCTAACGGTTACGATCATAAATATCATCCGAGATAAAGAAACGGCTGTTGTATCACGCGTAAACGGAGAAACTCCTGAAAGGTGGTCGCGTTATTCGGCACACCCGGTACGTCTAAAACGCGTTTCAAGATTAAACACGATTTCGCAGATTGCTCCGTTAATTGGAAGTCGCCTGATCGCGCAAAGACATTGTCGTGATCGATCGAGCCGGGATAGACGTGCTGCAGCACGGTATAATCGATTAATTGCAGCGGGACCGCAGGAAATTCGCAGGTTTAATCTGGTTCTATCGCGTGGAATAGAAAAGGAAGAGTCGTGGGTTCGTGGGGGTTAGGGATGGAGAGAAACTTGGTTCGTTCCGGCCGGCGCCGGCTCGCTCGTTCGTTCGTACGTGTCGAGGGCCGATTGCAGGCCGGTTCGTCGATGAAATTAGTTCGGTTGCCGTGCACAGAACCGCATCGCCTCGAGCTGTGTGCTCCTTTGATCTGCTCTTCGTTTCGCGAGAACGCCTGGAGAACGGGCCGCGACAATCGCGTAACACGATTACGATCAGACGAGGAACGACCGAGCGCTCGAGCTGCTGCTGCCGCCGCTCCTTTCCGCTCGGCTCGATGTCCAATTTCTTGGCACGGTGCATCGAACGCCAATCAACGGCACCGGAGATCGACGATATTTGGAACTCGGTGGGGAAATTTTATATCGCCCGGTGTGTCGATAAACGAAAAATGTTCAAATTACCACAATTGCCAATTTCCTTTTTCATCCATTTTTTTTTTTTTTTGTTTTGTTTCCAACGTTTGCGTTCTTCTTCACTGGGTACTCTTCTTTCTTTTTCCATGGTTCTGTGTGTACGTAGCTTTTCATAGAGACGGTACACATAGTACACAGGGATAGTCAGATTTCCGGTTCTGTTTGTTACATTTATTTACCTTCCGGAATTTTTTATTTCATTTGCCCGGTGCAGCACCGTGTTGATCTTATCATACTGGAAACACCAAAATACACACGCGTGGAATTGTTGCGTTTCCCTCTTTGTTTGCGGACAAATCGGGAAGTATATGTACATGTATGTATACATATCCGTTTGGACATTTTTCAGTTACGACAGTTGTATCAGAAATGAAATACACTTGGTCAGGATAAAATCATGTTTTGGATAACTGTATTCGCACCGAACGAATGTCGATCTCACGAACAAGCGTGTAACTATAAGCGTATACACTGTATAAAGGGTACACTTAAAATGGTACACAGGTAAACGGTTCGAATTACGAACGCGGCTTGCCACCGAAACTTCAACAGTTAACGAGATGAACCCCAACTCGGTTAAGAGGTCTGACCAGCTTGATACGTTGCATTACGTCCGCCTAGTTACCATAGTAGCTCGACTCGTGTTAATATTAGAATAATTGTGCGCGTGCATGGAACACACCGAGTAACAAACACACAACACACATACGCGCACACATAGAGGCCGGTGGCAAAGTGCCACGAACAGAGACACACGACAAGAACGACACCGAACCAAAAATGGACAAAGTACTATTTCGCGTGTGTGTGAAACGATCGAAGTGCTCGCGAACCACCGAAAAAAAAAGAAAGAGAGAAGGCAAAAAAAAAGAAAAAGTAGGCTACACTCAGAAAAAAAGGAAAGAAAATCGAATTCCGGATAATATGTAGATATATAGAGATCGGCTCTTGGATATAGTGTGTCTGGGAACGTGATTTTGTAGTCCGGTGGATGGTTTGTATCTCTCTCTGTATTCAACACGCATACATAGTTTCTACAAAGGCACAAAATGTTCTCTCTTATTTTCTTTTTTTTCGTCCACTTCTTTCTCTACGTCGAATCTCTCTACTCTCTCTCTCTACCTCTCTCTTGACGACCGATAATTTACCTATTCGTTCTCTATTTTCGTTCCCCGCATACATACTATGTACCACAAAAATTATATATATATATCTAATATCATATACAGCATTCTCGAACGGCCTGAATCGTTCTCTGATCTTACAAGTTTTTTTCCGAGTGTAGTACGAAAACTTCATTTACTATTCACTGTCTCTCCTGCTTGTTACTTTTCTAGCCTTTTTAATGGATAAGCTGTCTGAAAAGCGTGTGGTCTGCTCATGTTTTTCTTCTTTTTTTTACAAACAGTAAACGACTAAACGAACGAACCACTATTGTTTCTTTTTTTTTGGTTTCCTCTATCAGTAGAAGAATACATAGTATCTTGTTCA